TCTCTTTCTCTCTCTCAAAATATCTTATTGCAGTGTACTTACCCTCCTTCTTATGATGTGAGATGATAAAATGCCTACATGATGAGATGATGTGGAATGACACGGGCATTGTAACATAGCGTTAGACTGCTATTGATGTATCTTCAGAATGAGTATCATCTGCTTCAGGTGATCCTGGATCATCGAGCCATCGTAATGTCAATGGTTGGGAATCATTGGGACGGAGCAGGATAGTGCAAGATTTCATCACACTACTCAAAATTGTATGCAATTTAAAACTTATGAATTGTTTATTTCTGGAATTTTCCATTTAATATCTTCAGACCATGGTTGACCATGAATAAATGTAACCACAGAAAGAAAAACCATGGATAAGGGGGACTACTGTACCGTAAACTCCTTGGGAACAGGAATCACCTTCTACCCTTCAGGGTGGAAGCAAAAAAGACCCACTCTAGATATTTCAGACAAAAGGAATTTAACATAGGTAGCCAGTTATACAAGTGACAGAAGAGCTGAAAAGTCAAACAAGGGATGGTGAGGCCACCAGAGATTAACAACAGCAAGAGGTTGCCACCATCCCTAGAGCTGGAGAGACACAGGGAAAAGGTAGTGCTACCAGAGCCCAGAAACTAGGGCAGGGGTTGGAGCCACGGTGGGGGTTACTCATCAGATGCTGGCACCACAGAGGCAGGGGCAGGCTGATGGACTCTGGGATCAAAAACATGTAACCATGGCTGGAGATGCCACTGGAAGCAAAGAGAAGAAAGAAATACCCTAGTGATGAAAAATATATGCAAACAGTCCCCACCACAAATATATTGGAAAGGCTATGCTAAAGAAAAAATAGACTTTAAGACAAAAATTGTTTGTAGAGACAAAGGATATGTTATAATGATAAAAGGGTCAATCTATCCAGGAGTCATAACAAATAAACATATATGCATCTAAACAACAGAGACCAAAAATACATGAAGCAAACATTGACAGAAATGAAGAGAGAAATACCCAATTCAACAGTCATAGTCAGGGACTTAATACCCTATTTTCAAATAATGGATACAACAACTAGGCAGTAGATCAATAAAAAAATACAAGAATATTATGAACCAACTGGACCTATCAGCTATCTATAGAATATTCATCCAACAACAGCAGAATACACACTCTTCGTAGGTGCACATGGAACATTTTCCAGGATAGACCATATGTTAGGACATAAAACAAATCTCAATAAATTTTTTAAAATTGCGACCACACAAAATACATTCTCTAACCACAATCAAAAACAGAAGGAAATTTGAGGAATTCACAAATATGTGGAAATTAAACAAAACACTCCTAAATAACCAATGGGTCAAAGAATAATTTACAAGGGAAGTTGGAAAATACTTTGAGATGAATGAAAATGAAAACACAGCATATAAAAACCTATGGGATGAAGCTGAAGCAGTGCTTAGAGAGAAATTTACAGCTATAAATGCCTATACTAGAGAAAAGGAGAAAGATCTCAAGTAAAGAACCTAATCTTTTACCTTAAGAAATCAGGACAAAAGGAGAAAACTAAACCTAAATCAAGCAGAAGGAAGGAAATAACAAAGAGTAGAATGGAAATAAGTGAAATAGAGAATAGGAAAAAAATAGAGAAAATCAATAAAACCAGAAGTTGGTACATTAAAAAGATCTGCAAAATTGACAAACCTTCAACTAGAGTTACCCTGATACCAAAACCACAATAATCACAAGAAAATAAAACTATAGGGCTTCCCTGGTGGCGCAGTGGTTGAGAGTCCCCTTGCCGATGCAGGGGACACGGGTTCGTGCCCAGGTCCAGAAAGATCCCACATGACGCGGAGCGGCTGGGCCCGTGAGCCATGGCCGCTGAGCCTGCGCGTCTGGAGCCTGTGCTCCGCAACGGGAGAGGCAGCAACAGTGAGAGGCCCGCATACCGCAAAAAAAAAAAAAAACTATAGACCAATATCTGCACTAAATATAGATTCAAAAATCCTCGCCAAATCCAGCAACACATAAAAAAAAGATTATACACCATGACCAAGTGATTTATCCCAAGAATTTAAGGTTGGTTCAACATACAAAAATCAATCTCTAGGACTTCCCTGGTGGCGCATTGGTTGACAGTCCGCCTGCCGATGCAAGGGACGCGGGTTCGTGCCCCGGTCCAGGAGGATCCCACATGCCGCAGAGCGGAAATCAGCCTTTTAATCTATTTGAACCCAATGAGTGGAGAAAGAACTAAAACATTTTTTTCCCTTGAGATTTTGTTTATAAGAATAATGGGTCAGAGGTGTCTCTTCCATAGGAAACTGACATCCCCTATGTCCTCAAGAGTTGTTTTTTTTAAAAAATGCATAAACATGGGATTTCAATTCACTTGCATGCCATTTCCCCACCCTGCCCTGCCCACCCTCTACAGCCACACGTATTCACACACCCAAGGGGCTCCTTTCTGTAACTGGGGAAGAGAATAAAAAAAAAAAAAAAAAAAAAAAAAAATCAATCTCTGTTATACACCATATTTAATAGAATAAGGACAAAAAACGATCTTTTCAATGGACATAGAAAAGGCATTTAACAAAATCCAACAAACTAGGAATAGAAGGGAATATGCACGATACTCAAAATGAATCAAAGCTAAATGTCAGAGATAAAACTCTTAGAAGAAATCATAAGAATAAATCTTCATGAACAGGAATTAGGCAATGGTCAAATATGACACAAAAAAGCACAAGTGACAAAAGAAAAATAATTTGACCTCAAAATTTTAAGGTTTTGTGCTTCAAAGGTCACCATCAATAAAGTGAAGGCAATCCACAGAATCGGAGAAAATATTTACAAATCATATATCTGATAAAGGACTTGTATCCAGAATATATAAAAAAAAAAAAACTCTTACAACTCAACAATAAAAAAAAAAACCAATTTAAAAATGGGCAAAGGATTTAAATAGACATTTCTCCAAAGAAAATGTATAAATGGTCAATAAGCACATGAAAAGGTACTCATTATCATTAGTCATTAGGATAATGCAAATTAAAACCACTTAACACCCACTAGGCTGGCTAGAATCAAAAGAAAAAAAAAAACAGACAATAACAAATTTTGTTGAGGATGTGGAAACTTCATACCTTGCTGATGGGAATGTAAAATTGTGACGCCATTTTGGGAAAAGTTTGACAGTTCCTCAGAATGTTAAACATGTAGTTACCATATGACCTGGCAATTTTCTCCTAGGCACGTATTCTAGAGAAAAAGAAACAGATGTCCACACAAAAACTTGTATATGAATGTTCCTAGCAGCATTATTCGTCATAGCCAAAAAGTGGAAACAACCCAAATATCTAACTGATGATGGATAAACAAATGGAGTTTCGTTTGTACGGATATCATACAATGGGATGTATGGATATCATACAATGGAATGTATGGATATCATACAATGGAACATTACTGGACCATAAAAAGGAATGAAATATTAATATATACTACAACATGGAAGAACCTTGAAAACATTATGCTAAGTGAAAGAAGCCAGACACAAAGGCCACATATAGTATAATTCTATTTATGTGAAGTGTCCAGAATAGGCAAATCTATAAAGACAGAAAGTAGATTTGTTGTTACCAGGGGCTGGCGGTGGGGTTGGAGGGGATATGGGGAGTCTTCGCTAATGAAGAGGAGGGTGTTACAGGGGGGAGTGATTTAAAATGTTCTAGGGGCTTCCCTGGTGGTCCAGGGGGTAAGACTCCACACTCCCAATACAGGGGGCCTGGGTTCGATCCCAGGTTGGGGAACTAGATCCCGCATGGCACAACTAAGAGTCCGCATGCTGCAACTAAAAGTCCACATGCTGCAACTAAAAATACATCCCACATGCCACAACAAAGATCCCACGTGCCGCAACTAAGACCCAGTGCAGCCTAAATAAATAAATAAACATTTTTTAAAAACTAAAAAAGTAAATAAATAAAATAAAATAAAATGTTCTAAAATTGATTTTGGTGACAGCTGCACAACTCTGTGAATATAAAACACCACCCAAAAAAAACTGACTGGTACACCTTAAAAGGTTGAGTTTATTTGTGAATTATAACTCAGTAAAGTTGTCATTAAAAAAGGAAAGGAAAAACAAACTTATGGTTACCAAAGGGGAAAGGTGGAGGCAGGGGGAGGGATAAACTAGGAGGTTGGGATTAACATATACATACTACTATATACAAAATAGATCATCAACAAGGACCTACTGTATAGCACAGGGAACTCAATCTTCTGTAATAACCTATCTGGGAAAAGAATCTGAAAAAAAATGGACGTATGTATATGTATAACTGAATCATCTGCTGTACACCTGAAACTAACACAACATTGTAAATCAACTATACTCCAATGTAAAATAAAAACTAAATTAAAAAAAAAAAGAAAACAAAATTAAAAAAAAAAAAAAGAAAGAGAAGAGGTGAGGGAAGAGAAAAGAAGGAAGGAGAAAAGAAACATCCTGGCACATCCCTCCCCTTCTACCTTCCATCATCTGTCAGTGCCGCCCATTGAACAAACCTACCCAAAACCCAGAGGGCAAAGTAGTTTGGGAAATGTAGTCCCTGTGACACCGAGCAGGGCAAAGGAAGGATGGGGGTACATCTCTCACTTATCTCTTGACTCCCTGGCACATGGTACTAGGCTATAAACATTTGTCGAATCAATAAATGGTCCCTGTTCCCCTGCCTTAGGCTGGGCCCCTAGTCTGCACAGGGGGCTTTTTGAATGTAAATGACCCGATGATTCATGATCCTATGGCCGGTGAGTGGGCCGTCACTCTCTGTCACCTTCTCATACCCCTCATACCCCTTTGGTCCCATGAGGCACCTGAGTCCAGACCCTTAGTAGAGCTGGATTGGATGGAGGAGCAGAGGTGGGAGGGGCAGGGAAGAGGGTGGTTCCTCTCACAGCTTAAAAGGGGCTTGTATGACTTCCTCCCCAGACAGAGGCCGGGCACAATCTTCCTGTGTGGTTTCAGCTGCCGAGAGTGTCATGGACCTGGGTGAGTGAGCCTCCCCCGTGTGAGAGAAAGCAGTACCAGCGTCACTTGGACATGCAGGCTGACTTTGTTGGGATGGGGATGGAGGATGGGGGTGGAAGGCCTAGGGGAGCCTCCCAGAGAAATGAGGTGGCATTGCTGGGAATCAGTGGCTGCTCCCAGAGAGTGCCACCCTGTTCTCCCAGGCATGGAGAGTGCACCTTTCAGACCTGGGGAAGGGGCTAACCATTGGTTCCAGGAAAGATAAGGGGGGTCACATCTTTCAAGAACAGTAGGGACTACAGAAGGCGGCAGGGCTGGGGTTGATGGAAATCTGGACAGCACCTGTTCTGTCTCAGCCTGGGGTGATGGGGGAGGGTCTCAGGGACCTGTTTCATCAGGGAAATTTCTCCTTGGAGGGCTCAGGACCCTCCCCTCGCCCTCCAATTCCCACCTTTCTCCCAGGCTAAATAGGGATGAGAATGTCTGCTCTTTTAAGGTTATAACAAGGAGCAGATTAAAGGCGGGTGCATTGTGTAAATGACACTACACACAACGCAATGCAAGCTGTGCTTATTGTCTGCTGCACATCCCACGGGCAAGCTGTTGCCTCTTGCTGGTTAAATGTTGGGTAGACAACACTAAATGAGACCACAAGGAGCCTTCAGCTGGGAGAAGTCACAGCCAGGGCCTCCAGCACAGCCCCCAGCCTCACTTAATCACTTTTTCTACCCAGGAAGATGATTCATCCCTTTCAAAAGTCCATCCTCTGGTCTAATCTCGGTCTTAACCAGAGGGAGTCCAAGGGAAGCCCCGAGGAGGTCCTGGGAGTGTTTATCTAGCTCCAGAGACCCCATTTATAAATCTGAGCTGAGGAGTCAGACCCGCCTGAGGCTACGAAGGCTGGGTTCCTGGACTGCTCGTTCTCACCAGCAAACAAAGCACCACGGCAGCCTCAAAGCCGCAAGGGGTTGGCTTTAAAAAGTGAAGGTTCCCGTTCACCCTCTGCTGTCCTCACAACCCGACCCACCACATCACAGCCTCTTGCCTTCATGTCTGCTTTTTCCACCCACCCAGAACCCTGGGTGGACCCAGCAAACAGATGTTAAAGGGCTAAAGTGGCCATCCCACACACCGACTGAGAACCCCTGGAAGCCAGGGTCTCATTCTTGCACCTCTGATTCCCAGGTGCTTTGGGGGTATGAGCAGAAAATGTTTGTGGAATGAATGAGTGAATGAATGAATGGCATCAAGAACTCTGATTTCAGTTTTTAAAAATCTCTTCCGGGCTTCCCTGGTGGCGCAGTGGTTGAGAGTCCGCCTGCCGATGCAGGGGACATGGGTTCGTGCCCCGGTCCGGGAAGATCCCACATGCCACAGAGCGGCTGGGCCCGTAAGCCATGGCCGCTGAGCCTGCACGCCCGGAGCCTGTGCTCCGCAACGGGAGAGGTCACGACAGTGAGAGGCCCGCGTACCGGAAAAAAAAAAAAATTCTCTTCCAACTTCCCCTCCTCCCAGCAGCCTGCCGTCTAATCCCACTCCCCAGACAACCAGCCCCACTAACCACCGTCCCAGAATGCAGCCGTCATCCGCTGGAGACCCCAATCCTGCCTCTTGGTTTGACCTCTGTGAAGGAAACCAAGCAGGTCCCCGTGGTGCGCTGGTAAAGGCTAGAGAACCGGCTCCCCGGAACAGACTCCGACATGTAGTGCTTGCCAATTTCCATAGTGTAAAATTCTTCCACCATAGCTGACTTCAAGCCGTCAGCCGATTTCAAGCCATGAAATGACTGAGCACAGAGTCGGAGAGAGATGTACACCCTGGCTCGATGAGCCCTCACGAGCAGCCCCAGCACAGCACGGGGCAGGGAGGTCTCCTCCCAGGACTAGGTTTGGGGGTGCTAGACTCACAGGTGTTAATGCAGGGAGGGAGGTCCCTTTAATGCAGGAAAACTCTGGTGCAGGAAAAGGGATGTTCTTACTGCTTCACTCAATTCAAGAAAAGCCCCAACGGCTGGCCAAGCCCTAAATACTGGTAGGAGGGGACACCACTGAGACATTTTGCTCAGATCAGACTCCGGGCCGTTGGTAGGACGGGTGGGCCACGAAGGATCTGTTTCTCTCTCTTTGTCAGCCCAGCAGGGAGCCCAAGGTGGGTGAGAGGCAAAGTTTCTGTTACACAAAATGAAAATGCCGAACCCTGGCTGAGTTGGCCTTTTTCATGATTTGCATGAGCAGCCCCAAGACACCTTCCCCATCTTCAAGAAGCGGGGCCTAAGACTTAGAATTTTCCAAAGCAGAGAAGAGAAAAATGAGCTGTTAAGATACTCATCTCTCACAGCTCAGCCAGAGATGGCGGCAGATGGGGATGCTAAAGAAATTCAGGGCCAATCCCTCCTGGCCTTTGGGGAGCCTGGCTTGGGAGGAGGGGAACCCTGCAGCCTGGGGGAGCTGTTGGGAAATCTCTCCTCTTTGCTTGGTACTTTCAGTCAACTGCCATTGATGGAGGAATTCAGGCAGGACCAGTCTGGTGGGGGAGAGACACATATGTCAGTAAGCCACTGCAAGAGAGGGAGAGAGAGTGCTGATGGGCTAAGAGCAGGGCGATTGTGAAATCTAAATAAACGAACAATGAATGTGAGTCACGGGAGCATTTAAGTTGGGTTTTGAAGGACGTGTAGGAGTTATCAAACCAGAAAACAAGGAGCAAGGGGCCAAGGATGTGTCAGGGATAGCAAACTCAATGGCTCAATTGTAAATGAGGGAATGGGAGTAGATGTAGTAAGTGGAGGGCAGTGAAGTGATTCAGAGGGCACAAGCCCCACCTAAAGGTATCCAAATCCAATTTTTTGCAAACTCCATGTAGCCAAACAGAATATCCTGGAGACTCAGCCTGCAGGCTCCCAGCTGGTCAGCTCTGACAGAAGCTAATAGAGACAAGAAAGAAGTAAGTTGAGGAGGGTGTAAAGGACCTGGCCATGCCAAGGAGGAAGGGAGAAAGGGAGGCAGGAGGGACAGGCAAGGGCCAATCTTTAAGATTCCGTGTGGCACTGCTAAAAATTGGGGCTTTTTGATGAAAGCAATGGGGAGCCAATGAAGATTTTTCTTTTTCAATTATTTGAGTTAAATAATGTGATCTGTGTTTCAGAGGAGCTCCGTGGCAGCAGAGCCTTATGTTGGGGTAGAAGGGGGGCCACATCTGAGATGTTAGGAAATGGAAGCAGCAGAACCGGGTGACCAATCCCCCTTCTCCTCCAGTGGGATGGAGGAGACTGAGGATTCCCTTTATGCTCCACAGAGGTCCCGATACACAGCAGCCTCAACAGAAATGAAGTAATGAGAGCTCATTAAAAAAATCTCAGATCCATCTCTTGGCAGCTGTGTGACCCCAGACAGGTGACCTAACCTCTCTGAGCCTCTATTTTCTGGAATATGGAATGAGCCTCACAAGGGGTAACTCACAGGATGTTAGGAGGGAGAGGAACATAAAGCCTGAGAGGCAGCACTGAAGAGCATTCAGGAGTGTGGTTTCTGAAATTAGATGGATTCAAAGCCCAGCTCCACTACCAGATGGTTGTGTGACTCTGGGAAAGTTAATAATCTCTAGTTTCTCTCACTGGGAGCTAAGGTTGGAGTTCTAGGGAATTTCCTTTTCGTTGTGATCATTACTAGACACTCATGAACTCAGAAAATACCCAACACATAAGTCAACCACTCCTCAGCCCTTGAGATTCCCAACTTCTCTGGTCCCACTCAAGCTGCTGCCCAAAGCGAGTTACTTTATGACTTGGTAACAGACAGAAGTAAATTGAGTCAAGGCTGTTGACCAGGCGGCCTCTGCCACACACCTGAGTTCCCCTAAGTTCCTGTTTGGTCACCCTTCTTGAAAACGACCTATTCTGGTCCTAGAAAATCCCTGCTCGATGACCCTCTCCAACACACCTGGAAGGAGACCTCATATACACACACCCTCCAGCCCCCCTCCTTACCCCTCCCCCAGCCAGTGGCAAAAGGACTGAGACGGGGCCAGGAAAGGGGGTTGATGGAGTGAAATAGAAACAGAACTCATGCTCCTCGTATTTCACCGTTGTGACATCAAAACCTTGAGGTTTCTCAGTTCTCACTGACCGTCAGAGCAGGCTTTCTCTAGAGTAACCGAAAGACGTGTATGTGTTTAAAGAAACCTCGAGCGCTTCACGTCAAGATGAGTCAATGGAGGATGGGCAGCTCATTGGACCATGAAGAGAGTGCGCTTAAGGGTAGAGATGTGGACAAGCTCAGGGGCTCACGGGTCAATTTGGCAAGGAAGGGGGATGAGAGAGGGGAGCCATGAAGTTGTACAGAGATCCATTCCCACCCAGGACTGCAAATACTCAGGTGCAAGCTGGGGACAATGGGACAGTGGATGCCTGTCCCCAGAAACAGAAGACACAACTAGAAAGGCAGGTCCAAGTAAACAGCGGAGGGCTTGACTGCCACACTCAGCATCAGGGCGTCATCCTTAGGGCTGTGTAGAGAGGTCCTTGGGGCTGGGTAGAGAGGTCCTAATTTAGGAAGAAGCCAGAGTGGGGGTCGGCATCAGAGCTATGCTTTAGGAAGACACAGCTAGCAGTAGCTTTCAGTATAACTTGGGAGAAATGCCTGTTTATTTATGTGGCTCGACGCGCTTCTTCCTTCCCCTAAGACTCCCCCAGGCCCAGAATCCCTGCCCTAGGCACGCTGCCTGGAGCACAATGCCAATTTGGGTGTCATGTCACAAAATTTCCAGCAGGTGGCGCTATGGCCAAGCACACAGACTCGCTGGGCCTGTGATGTGGCCTCTAGGAGGAAGCAGAATCCCTTGTTTGCTAGAGGGAGGCCCTCAACCTCCAGAAGGTGCTAGAAGCAGGATCCCAAGGATCTGCTTGGGATCCCAAGGATCTGCTAGAAGAAAGATCCCAAGATCAGGAGGATCTACTGACCCTCCTGAGACTGGAGGTGCAGTGGACCAACAAGTCCTGCCTTGTAGTCATTCCCGGCATCAGAGTTACTGACTCTTTCCTGTGGTCTGGTCCAGTTAGGGGAAGGGGGGCTACAAAGGTGAAGAGAGCACCCCTCCCAGACTGTTAAGTGAGATACGACTTCTATATAAATCACCCTATGAACTGTGCCCCCTGCTCAGCCTTTGGAGAAAATAAGTTCCAGTTCCAGCCCTCGGCTCAGCCACAAAGCAGGACTGAGCAGCCAGGGCCCACATCAGGCCTTGCGAGAACCTGGGGCCTCAGCCTGCCGTTCAGCCTTGAGGGGTGGTCTGGGCCAAGATGGACTTTCCAATTCCAGAAGAGGCCCTGAACAGCCAAGAAGAGGGGAGGGGCTGCCCTGCATTCCGATCCCACTCCTTTCTGGGACCCCTTATGGAGGGGAGGAGGGGAGGACAGTGAGGCTGGGCAGCTGGCCAGGTGCTCCAAGGCACAATCTGGTTCTCATGTTCTCAAACATGGTGTCTGGAGAATGTGATGAAAGTCCCCTGGCTTTGTGGCTTTTTGTCATAACAAAGAGCCATCCCTGCCAAGCAATAACTTTCTCACCTTGTCTCCTGCAGGGAAGCCAATGAAGAGCGTGCTTGTGGTGGCCCTGCTCATCATCTTCCAGGTAGGTGTCCCACCAAGGAAAGCTCCGTTCCCTCTCCCATACGCCCCTCCCCAAGCCTGGTCCTTCCGAAGCCCAAGCCCTGGGTTCTGGTGGAGACGCTGGGTATTTGCCAGAAAGAAATAGACCCAGACACAAATTTGTCATTCATTAAGCTGATGGCCACCCCTCCTCTCCATCTGCTGAGTGACCCTAGAAAGCCACAGATGTTCTCCGACTTTCCTTTACTCCATTTCAATTAAAACATGGGAGAAAGGAAGTTACCCCACCTTCCCCACCCCACTTCCAATATCCCCATCCGGGAGACAGAAAGGTGGACTCCTGAGTTCTTGGAGAGAGTTCTTTGCTTTGCAAAAATGTTCCTGGGTTTTGCACATATGTGTCCACACCCACACATGTAAATCTTCATATGTGAGCTGAGAAAAGAACCCGTGGCCTGGTGGCTGGTAACTATCCTATCGCCCCAAACCTGTCTCCCTCCTTCACCCTCCAGCCAAAGGCTCCCCTCGAAGCCCCAGTTCCCTTCTGTGAAATAAAGAGACTGGCCTGAGCCTCACTGTGGCGGGGGGTGGGGGCGGGGAATGGAAGCACATCCTTTAGAGGGGCCCAGAGCTCTGTAGGAGCAAAGATTCCCAGTTTACAGGTTTCAGCGTCTCAATCCCAGCTGTGGAGACAGAAAATCTGCCCCAATCAAGTGCCAGAGTTAGAAGAAACTAACTCGTGAAGTCTACTCTCCCCCATTTGCTGGGGTTGGGAGCTCTCTTGGAGGGGTAGGGGGGCTGAGGTAGGAGCTGGAGAGGCAGCACTTCAGAATTTGGCTCTTCCCCAGGTCTGGAGGCCAAAGGGGCAGCTTTCCAGGAGCTCCGGCCAGAGGCAGGCCCCAAGTTGGGCACTGTTCCCAAAACCCCATCCCAGAGGCCCCCTGGAGCTTGGGCTGTAGCCCACAGCTTGGTGCCCTTCCCCAGCACCACTCCCTCCCCTCTCTCTCCCCTGTTTCCAGGACTCTGGAGAGGCTGGAAGGTTGGGGAGGGGATAAGGGACAGCTGGGCTTATCCTTCTCTTTACTTGAGAGGATGGGTTTGGCTCAGATGGGGCAGGATGTGGTGAGGCTTGGGGCTGCAAAGACACATCAAGCCTGGTGGCCCCTGGTACAGGGGGCAGATAC